AATGCATGACGGGGAAGCAGCAGCAAGCAGTGGGGTCTTCACTGTGTCCCCCAGAAGCCTTACTTCAGAGTTTAAGCCACACACCTTTTCAGTCAAATTTTTCATCTCACACACTTTTGAATATACACCCAAGAATTCATATTTTCAAATACTGTGCCATGGCATATTGCTACTAATTCCTCTCACTCACAAACCTGCTCAGTTATTTTGAGACATTGCCTTCTCCAACACAAATGGGTCAACCAGATTCAAATGCAGAGGAAGAAATCGCATCATTCTTTTAAGTCAGAGGTTGTTTTGCAAAGCCCACCTTTTACCTGATTTCCCTACACCCTTTCCTTCCCAGTTCGAATACAAACTGCAGTCATTAGTGAGTAAAATAGCATTTAAAGTCTGAAACTTAAAAAGTTATTACAAAGTGAAGTCACTCCTCCACTGGGCATGCCTGGAATTCATGGGGAAATCTGCTTTCAAGTAGTTCTTATGGCCCAGGACCAGATGCTCTAAGGTGGCCAGGAACCATTGTCTACAGCGCTTAGCAGATTTCTGGCTCTCTATCAGGGACTAAGAGGTTTACTTGCAGAAATGAATCATTTCCTTCAAAATATCCCTTACCCTATTTACATGCTTGCATATTCCTTCCATTTTGTTTCCCCCTACAGCTTTACTAAGGGAATTAATTATCTAGAAGAACAGGAACATACAGTAAGTACATCTGAGCTCCAGGATGGGACACAGTATGTCATCTATTAGGTCTGGCTAAGACCAGCAGCTGATGCTAAATGGGAAGGAACATGCACCAAATGTTTTTTAATCACAAAGTTAGTAATTAATTGCTCTTTAAAATACATTTTATGCTTCTTTCTGTCTGTGTACATGAAATGCACATTTATTACATGCCAAAAATTACAACATTATGGTTTAAATGTGACTGGCACGGAAGTCCGGAAATCAGAGTTAATGTCCCCACAGCAACTTTAATTCTGTCCGTGTGCACATGTAGAGCTATAATTGTCTTCCGTTTCAGGATAATACATATAGATGGTTTGGGGAGGGATGCTAAAGACCCATATCCTCAACTGTAGTTACAGGAGAGAAACAAAGGATAAAGCCTCTGCTCCTTCCCACAAATGTGGATGAAAACAATGTCCTCACGTCTGTGTTGTGCAATCAGGGAATGAAAGAATCTGCTGTGATACTGCACTCGGCACTCAAGGGGACAGTTTCTGTTGCTGTGGGAACCTGAACTTTGCATTTCCTGACTTGGGGGTAATTAAAATGTCAGCCTTAATGTGGCATTAATGGAGTTTGCCATAAAAATCCTCTTTGTTTTGTTCTCTCAGAAATTGCTTAAAAGTTCAAAATGAGCCAAGTGTACTAAAAATTTAATCATTGGGTCTTGGATGAGTGAAGAAAAGACTTGGGAGAGGGAAGTCCAGACAAGGTGGAGGGCAGGAGACAAGAAAGGAAGAACCACAGTCTCCTCGACAGCAGGCAGCCCCAGCAGTACCATGCTACCTACATAGCTAAACTTAAACCCACCCACACAACAGTTTGGTAATGTGTAAAGGTTAAATTAAAAATAAATAAAAACTGTTAATGCGTAAATGCAGCTTGGCAAAGACATAAAACTGAGACAGTCTGAGGAGTCCAGCGCAAAAAAAACGGAACATAAGTGACCATGGATGTCAGCTTCTGACTAAAGGTACCTCAGTCCAGACGGGTCTACAGCAGAAGTAGAGACAGCCACTAAAGAGAGATATGCTTCCCCCTTCCACGGGAGCCTTATTTGGGGGAAAACAAAATGGAAGAAATATGCAAGTAAAAGTTCTAGTTGCGTCTATCACATGAATATGACTGTGATGTGCTACAGCTTGGTAGTTGTCAGGATAGGCTTTTCATATGGAGAGCTGCGTCTGCTCTACCGACTCCTTAGTCCTGCTTAAGCGCTAAGGGAGAGCTTGGCTCAGTGCACACTCAGCCTGTTTGGTGGATAACTGCTCTGTCAAACACCTAGGGTTTTTACACCCTTTATATTCCCAAACTCATCTTAATGCCTTCCATTATCATCATCTGAATTTGTTTACCATTACATTTTCAGAAATGGTGTAGAGGTGACAAGCTCTGCGGTAATGGTGGAATATTGCTGAAAGGAAATTGTGTTAGTGAGTGCACTGTAAAACAGCACACATTTCAGTGGCAGTATTAACAGTATCATCCCACTAAGGAACGCAGAGCTCAACTGCACTCCTTCTGCTCTTGAATGCTCCTCAGGATCTTTTGCCAAACTGGAAATGGCACAGCAGGTCAGATAGCCAGCTGAGAGTTTAAGGGGTCAGAGTGCTTATCTTTGCTGATTTGTAGCTTGTGTCCTTCACATGCAAAAGCACTGTGGCTTGCCACCCTTACCAGTTCACTTTGTGGGAATGATTTACGTACTGTGTTTTTATAACCCCATCGCCAATGTGAATAGTTGCACATTCCCAAGGTGTCTGTTTATAGCCAGGAATGCCATCTTGGGGTTGAGCATTCTGGCTGCTCATAGTGAAAGCAAACCCACCAACACTTCTCAGTACCCTTGAGTGAAAGCAGGCCAGTCGTCCCTCTAATCTAAGTATCAACATTCTCAGTTTTCTCATCTGTAAATTGGGACGAATCATTCTGACTGACAGGAAGTGGCCATTAAGTCCTGACTAAGAATAATTTTGCTAAGCACATGACAAATAAAAAGGTGCTATAAAAATTCAAGCACTTGTGAAAGCTTGGAACACCACACACTGGTAGAACATTCCTGAAGCTAAAGAGACTAACAAGTCAAGGGCACTATTTTTAAATGCCCCAAATCTGTTCATTTTAAATAGGAACTGAATATTTTACCTTAAAGAAATTAGGCTTTTAAATTAATCTATGGTAAGAATGACATTTGAAAGTTTAAAAAAAAAAAAAAGTCTTCTTGAATGCAAGAAGAGCATCCAAAAATTTTAACAGCTTAAAATAAACTTCTTTCCTGTCTTCTCTCAAGCAACCTCCAAATGGACAGATTTCTGTGAATCTTTCCTAAAAACAATTTTCCTCTAAGTGTAGGCTCAAATCAGGACAAACTACAATCCAAATATGTTTGGAGAGAAGTATAATCAATTTAAACAACAGGTTGGCACAGAGAAGACTTACATATCTTAATGGCAAAATCAAAGTGACTTTCTAGACAGCTGGAGATTAGGTTTCTCCTCCCAGTTTTTTCTCCATCCAACTGTAGTCAGACACCCCACTGAGCTCCACTCTGCAGGCTTCCTTGGGTCTGTGGTGACAACACTGTCCTACTGTTCCTTCTATGCACCCATGCCAGGCTAGTAAGGATAGGAAAGCCTGGCCAGAGGAGGCTTACAGTATAATAAATAGAGTTCAGTGCTTTTTTTCCGACTCAGTAAAGTATTCATTTGGCTGTAGCAGATCTCTGGGCTAGGGCCATTCTATGCAATCGTCACCATAAGGTGTGGCAGAAAGCCAGGTGATGAAGGTGTGCATGCAGAGGCTCCAGGCCCTTCACCACAGGGAAAGGCCACCTTCCTGGTAGGTAGGGACAATGTGCACATGTCTACGGGCAAGGTGCCATATTATTTTCCAGTTCTTCCTGTAATTACTGTTAGGCCGGAGACTTCCAGGCAAGAAAGTCCAAGGATGTGACTATGATGATGGTTCACAGAACACGAGCCCTGTTTTTGTGCCCTTATGTCTCAATAGAAGCCCTGATTGTGGACAGATCACACTGGTCATGGTGATGTGAACCTCACTGCTTCTCTTTCCATTTCCCAGTGACAGCTGGAGTGTGGCCTCAGCCCCAACCCCTGCCCCAGCTCACAAGCCTTCATCTAGAGGCTATGATGGGCAAAGTGAGTGGGGAATGGAATCTCCCAGACCCTGTCACCTCTTCTCCTCCTTAAGAATTTCATATTTGTTCATTGATAAAAGAGATTTAGAAACTCATTTCCTAATTGATAATTTTTTGTCTCTCATTGAGGACCAGGATAAACAGAGTCGCTTTTGGAAAGAAAGCTTTCTTGGTCTATTTTTCTCTAAAGAACATGCCAGATCTTTGCCTGTTACCATATATCCTGTGTGGAGATCAGTTCAGAAGAGTTGCTGGGTATCTTACAGTTAAAATGAACACTCTTTTGGTTTGGTATTGTCAACACATGTGCTTCTCTCTGAAGTATTGGGTTGCATTTGAGAAACAAAAAACAGTCTCCTAACGTGATTTATCAACTTTCTTAAAACAGAATTTAAGAAGTGACTTCCAGATTAGTGAGAAGACGGCAAACATAAACAGCAAAGAAGTGATTCCAATACTGCCGATCTCATTAAGTGCCCATTTTCCAAATTTAGCCCTTAGGCAGTTTTTTTAATTAAAAAATATTTTTAAACTGAATTCTTATTGGCGATGCAAAGTCTGGGTGGCTTCTGAATTCTTGGAAGCCATTCTCCTTTCTTCTGTAAATTTATGCTATCCTTTAACCACTTCAAAATAAATTAAAAAACTGGAAAGACCGAAATTCAGCCAAGTTACATGAGTGTCCAATAACTAATGCAAATCTGACTTGTGTTATGTAATTTCAAAATGGATGTTTCCTGTGCCTCCCTGGCCTTCTGAGGTCCGTATTAGGCTGATCCATTTAGAGATGGTGGAAGTGCTGCTACTCAGAGCAAGAATAATTAGAAAGCAGCGACACAACTTCTTTTTCTGAGTTAATGTTATGAAAGAGAATGTGGTTCATATAATTAATTAGCATATTTGGGCCAAATGGCTGGTTACCTGGCTTTAAAATACACTCTAGCTTTGAAAATATATAGACGTTGGCTGGATCAAAATGGTGGCATGCTACTTTTGGCTACTTTAGAAGACCAAATGCAAACAGCTTGCTCTGAATGCAAAACAGCCAGAACCCAGGGGAGAAGCGCCAGCCAAGGACTGTGAAGACACCATCACCTCGCTGGGTACTCACAATCAGATGACCCGGTGTGAGCGTGAGAGTTTGTCAGTGAATGTGTTGAGTGGATGAGGGCTGGGTCTGGAGACAAAACAGCTTCAAAGTTCAGGCAGGGAAGGCCCGGCTTGGCGCTGGATCCACCCGGCTGAGTAATCTCATTCTCCTCAGATGCCTTCTGGTTTTCAGCTGTCTTGGGTTTCTTCCTGAAAATAAACAAAGGGCCCTTTGAAGGAACTGACTGCATATTTGGGAAAAAGGCATTTTTAGAATCTGTTAAAGATAACTTGATTTTTTTTTTTTTCTGAAGGGGGATGGGAGGGAGTCCAGTATGTCCCTTGTTTTAAAACAAGCTGATTCTTGTTTTTTCCCCTCCAGTAATGGCCTAACTGGGAACACATGAAAGCATATGGGCCAAGCAAACAGCACCACATTTGGACTCTGTTGGCTGTATAAAAAGACCCTGTCCCAGAACTTTAGACAGCTTGAGCTACGTATGGCTGACATTATCCAAGAAAGCATCCCCCCCTCCCCCCCGTTAAAGAGTTTTAACATGGTCTGGAAAAAGTACTAGTGGAGGTTTACCGTTCTAGCATTTGTCAGGAAGCTTAGAGACAGGACCCGTGGAGTAATGGGAAGAACACTGGACTGGGAGTCAGGAGACTTGGGCTACGGTACTAGCTGTGCCTCTAACTTGCTGTGTGGCTTTGGGCACCTCACTTCACCTCTCTGGGCTTCAGTTTCCTCATCTGTAAAATAAAGGGCTTGGATTAGAAGGCCTTAAAGGTTCCTTCCAGCTTTAAGCTTCTATTCATGGAACACATTATGGAATATTCAACTTTCCTATTGTTACTCATTTTACTTTAATGCAACACACAATTTCAAATCATGACCTCTGTCTCCAGGCTGTACAGATGTGAGGGGTAGTGATGAGATGCTTCTAAAGTAGCAAGTGCATGTGATAAGGAAAGCTTAGGTACCAGTAGGTAAGGAAGGCATTACGTAGACTCCACTTCTGTGCTATTCACCCCAGTCTAGAGATTCTCTTTGTTCTTTCACTTAGTGTATGCTCTAGTTTAGGAGTATGGCTAGTGTTTGCCATGTGAGTGAGAGATGGGTGGAAGCAAGTAGAAGTTGTTACTGTTATTTAGGGTAGAGGTTAGGAAGTGAAATAGCTCAGCTATCAGTCAGCTCAGAGTTTATTTCCCCAGGGCAGTGCATTGAGGTTAACTAATAGATCAGATTATAATAAATGGACCCTAGAAAAATGAATTATTAGTCCCTGAACATGTCCCTAGTTTCTGTGGCTTTGTGGGTTTTTTTCCTATCACTATGTAGGCAGTAACCAGAGTGCATTTTTTCATTTTTGGATAGATTATGTGTGGTACATACTTTGTTGTAAGTAGATGTGTCTCCCTGTTCTCCTTGTTTCTATGAGCATGGTTTGGGACTTGTATACAGAGTATTTAGTACTGAAATGTATCATACTGGGTAGTTAAACATGCCCTCGCAGAATATGCTATTATGATTAGTATTTTGTGTTCTTAGTCCAACAGGTTGTGAAATCAAATCTGTTTCTTCAGAGGGCACAAGGCAGAAATAGCATAGTAAAGATTAGAATAGAGGGGAAACTTGCAGATATCTTTCTCAGTGTGGAGAAGGCGAATGCAGAAGAAACAGACTGCGGTGCCTTACCCATTGCTGTACGGGTGGCTGAGGGACTAGCCCTCAAAGCCTGTGTCTACACAGACCCCCAAGGATCTGCTATTCTGGTTTTTCAAACTAAGAGTATTTCCAAGATAAAAGTCTCTAAAGTCCAATTCTTTTTTCCCCTGTGAAAACCAGTGCTTCCTGTAAGGTCCCTGTTTCTAGCAGTATTCTCTGTTGTCAGGCTGGAAATTTCAGGCTCATCACAAACCTTCCTCTGCCTCCTAGCCAGGTCACCAACCAGTCTTGACAATTCTGCTCCCTCTCTATCTTCCCCACCTGTGGCTTTGGGTGCCTCACCTAACTTCTCTGAGGTTCATTTCCATATCTGTAAAATAAAGGCCTTAAAGCCTTCTGCTCCCCACATCACCTTTCCACTTTCTAACCACACTATTGCTCATTGACTTGCTGTTCATCCTTCATGACCCTGGTCCTGCTGCTTTGCATTCACTAGATCCCACATGACCATACTGGCCGATAAAAACATCATATCTGCCCTGCCTTATGTCATGTGTCCCATATATTGGCTACTCTGGAATTTATCATTCCCAGAATGTCCTGGGATCTACATTCTTGGCTCTATACCTTTACTTATTACTCTTGCTTTGAACACCTTTTTCTCATCTCTGCCTGCTAAAATCAAACTTCACACATTAATTTTATAAATATTTAATATATGGCTGTGATTTAGACAATCCTGGTTCCTGTCCTCCCAGAGTGTACTGTGTAGTTCATACTGTAAAGCAGAACAGCTTGTAGAGAATGGCCAATCAAGAGCTGTTTGCTGATGGAATTAAACAGAACTGAAATTAAAGTGTACTTGGAGAATAGTCCCAGCCTGCATCTCAAGTTTCCTTTTCTTTATGCAGTAGTGAAATCTACCTGGACTGGCTTCTTTTTTATTGATCACATGAGAAGTATTCCATAGGAAAGGTTGGTCCTTATAACCCATTTAAATATAGGGACAAGAAACCAATGGCAATTGTCGCCTGGGCAAGTTTCAGACATGTGGCTCAGAAAATTAAAGCTGCTCTCTTTCAAGTACTAGTACACAGGCAGACCACCAAAATGTCCTGACGTTAACTATAAAATTGTATTGTTCTTATCCAGGAGCATATTGTATATGCCCTTGGATATTCTCATCCTAGATTTTCTCTTGCTTCCTGCCTGAAATTCTGCACCCCTCCCCACCTCCAAGATCACTTCTGGAGGCTTCCATGGTACAGGAACACTGCAGGTACCTCTGCAAGAAGGAAATATTCAAAATCAACCTTTCTGACTCACTCCCTCAATTGCTTAGTATCGCTTTATTTATCCTTTTACCATGCTGTTTCCCAGCTGCACAGACAAGAGAACTGCTCACCTTCCTTCGAAGAATTTCGTCTCCCACCTCAACCTCTTTCACAATTCTTTTGGGCTCCTTTTTCTGGAGCCAAGACACATTAACAGATAATACTGGTCTGTCTGACAAGTAAGGTGCTGTTATGTGACCCATCTTTGCAGTTTGTGGTTCATTAAGGAGGAAAGACCAAGCTCTCTTGTAATTAACTGAAAATGCTTTCTTTGGTTGTATGAAAAGGATTGTATAAACATGGTACATCTAAGGACAAGTCTCTACAAGCTTGTGCAGCTTGCACTATTCCCTGAAGCCTTTAGAGGGCAGCAGCACACTGGCTGAGTCCAGGCAGCATTTCAGAGCACAAACTCCTACCAGAACCTTCCTCCTGGTCACCATGCCAAAGGTTGGTTTGCCAAGCTCTCTGGCCTCTCAGTCTCTTTCTTTCTTTTCAAGTTTGTTCTCTTCCTTGCCTTCTGTTCTCTCTCTCTTTCTCTCTCTCTCTCTCTCTCTCTCTCTCTCTCTCTCTCTCGTTCTTTTACTCTGTTAAAATTATTCACTCTGATGAGGTTGCCCCTCAACCAGAAAATGAAAACACCCATGAAAAAGTTACACAAGCAAACAGTAACAAAGAAAGAAACACGGGGTAAAGGGAAAGGGGGTTGGCAGGGGAGAAGGGCTGCAGACCAAGAAGAGGGCAGATGTTCTGTAAATATATGCAAAGCAAAACTGGGTGTATCCTGAACGCTTCCATAGAGAAACAGACCAATCATTGTGTACTTCCTCCCGCCACACTGGTGAAGCTCTGCGTTGGAGAGAGAGAGAGAGAGAGAGAGAGAGAGAGAGAGAGAGAGAGAGGAGAGAGAGAGAAGTGTGGCCTCAGGCAACTGCCTTTCAACGGTCAGCTCTGACATTCTGACTGAACATGTCCCAATTGTCCAAAGAGAACAAAAACATTTTCATCTCCCCACTGTGAACGTTTTTGTTATGAGAAAAAGGCTGCTTCAAGAAATAGGAAGCTGTTCTAAGGTGAAGGGCAGCTGAGTTAGCCAGCAGAACCTTCTGTTTTTTTAACTCTCCCTGTGCTGGCCCTGACAACAAGTTTTGGGCTGAAACCTAGCAGTGAGTAAGGCTGTGCAGGATGTTGGCTCTTCCCTAACTAGACCATATTGTATGTGCAAACCTCAGGCAACTGCCTTTCAACGGTCAGCTCTGACATTCTGACTGAACATGTCCCAATTGTCCAAAGAGAACAAAAACATTTTCATCTCCCCACTGTGAACGTTTTTGTTATGAGAAAAAGGCTGCTTCAAGAAATAGGAAGCTGTTCTAAGGTGAAGGGCAGCTGAGTTAGCCAGCAGAACCTTCTGTTTTTTTAACTCTCCCTGTGCTGGCCCTGACAACAAGTTTTGGGCTGAAACCTAGCAGTGAGTAAGGCTGTGCAGGATGTTGGCTCTTCCCTAACTAGACCATATTGTATGTGCAAAGAAATATGCATTAAAACATATGGATGAGATGTTAGGTATTAAGCATGTTAAATGCATGGAAATTAACCAGATCGATAGCATTTGATGTATATATTTCACACTCCTTTGCACATATTGCACACATACAGTGATGGCAATGCTTTCTGCAACATATGGAAAAATAAATATTTTATCTGTGTGAGCTCTTATCAGTCTCCAGGGTCTGTTGAGAGGTGAGTGCTCTCTTCTATCTCTGTCTCCCAATCCTCTCCCTTCACTGGGGTCCAGCCTTCTCTTGCACATTAACATGCCTTCCACTTATCAGCTGGTTGGATAGGAAAGAATTAGTCAGAACTTCCCTTTGATAAATAATTACTCAGTCACTGGATCAGGATAATTCAGATCAGTGATCCAGCCTTTCTGGAGTGCTAACCATTTCCCTACTCTGCTCCACAACAACAGTGTCTGGAGAAGGGAAGGGGAGGTGGAAAAACCCCCACCTCATGCCCCCAGCAGGGAAGGGAGATCTAAGAAAACTCAGCTCCACCACTTAGTAGCCATGTACCCTAGGCAGGCTATTCTGCCTCTCTGAGTCCCATGTTCTTCATCTGTAAAATGGGAATAAAATGTACAAGCTGTGGGCTGTGGGGAGGAATAACTGAGGCAGGTTGTGATTGGCACAGCACTGGCCCACACAGTAAGTACTCAGTAATGAAGCTCTTTTCACAGCCTCATTGAGCTCTGTGGTTTTCATCCTGTTAGCTATATAGTAAGACGTGTCCTTCATTTTAGTTACCTTTTGAATATCCAGATCAGGGGCAAGGGTAAATGGATTGTTATTATAGCCAGGGGAGAAGGAATGTTCAGATAAGCAATCTCTTCTTCCCACTCTGATCTCACTGCCTTACAACCCCTTTCTGTTCAGGTGCTTGTCATCGCTGAACTCCATTCTTTGGAGTTGAGGGTCAAGCAAACTGTACTTGGCCTGCAGTAGCCCACTGAGCCCCATCACTATGGTCTATTCATGGAAACCAACCTACAGTGCTCTTGCTTATTACGCTTTCTTACAATTTATCCTTTCACAACTCAGCCCAATATTCTCACATTAAAGTGTTTTCATGATTAAAGAATTTTATTATCTCAATCTTTTTTTTTTTTCTTTCTTCTTGGCAAGGCTGACTTACAATGTTTTTCAGTGTATTTCCCCTCACTGTAGTCAGGATCCTGGCAGGAAATAGATGGCACATGGAAACATTTTAAGTGAAGGGAGTTTTGATGAGAAGACTGTGTCCTGAGGCATGGATGAGTCTAAGGGACCCTCAAGGGAAGGGGAAGCACCAGAGACTGACAGCAATGAAAAGCTGTTGAGATAATCTTTAAATCAGTTAAACTGGAGGGTCAGGGAAGGGGCCGTTTTCTGAACAGAGTCAGGATGGCATTGGGGTAGGGGTCTGACTGACTTCTTGTGGTATCCACTCTCATGTTCTTGAAGATGCCTTTTGGCCTAGTTCAAAGGGAGGCTAGAGGACAAATGAGCCTGGAGTATAGTGCTAAGCTGTCTCCTGGGGGTCATGCATTAGGGCAGAAAATAGTTCTGGGATTTTCTCTGAAGGTGGGTGGGATGGCAAGACTCATCAGCATACCTATTGTTTCCCTTTTCCATTTCTTTCACCCTTTTTTTTCCTCTCAATAATACTTTCTGGAAGGAAAAAGCAAAATAAAATACATCAGTTCTCTAAATTTCCATGCACCTATTTTGTCTGTTTGCCATTTATAGAGCAAGAAAACTGAATGTAAGCTCACAAGTGGGGGTTTTGTTTGTGTTCCCTGCTACCAATTCCCAATGCCCAGAATAGTGCCTGGCACACAGTGAATGCTCAGCAAACTGTAGTGGATTGAGTAGATACATTCATCTCTGCTGTGCCAGATACTATATATATATATATCATCTCATTTAATTATCACAACAGTGTGGGCAAGTAGGCAAGGCTTGTGTGCAGGAGCATGTGTGCAGGTAATCTGGGAAAACAGAACACTGTTCCTACCCTAACCCTCAACTTTGAGACCAGAGACAGAACATTAGCAACCTACAGGAAGGGGCACATTTTTGCAAATACTTCACCTTTTTTATATATTTCCCATCTTAATGGTTCTTGTACAAGTTTTATTGTCATTTCTCTTCTGTATGCACTAAACAGCTTCTCAACATCAAAGACTACAAGGGTTACAACCCCATCTACCCATTCTCCACGGCTGAAGAGAAGGGGAAATACTTTCTACAGCAGAAGCATGTGCCCATTTGTGGATCTGTTTGCAGTTTCCAAGGAATATCAGAGCCCATTTCTTAGGTCTAGGTCAAGGTTCTCTGAGGTACAGTGGGGTTAAGTGTCAAAGAATACACAAACCTTGATATCATTCTGTGTCTTAGCATGGCTGTGCTACTGATATCAGCATAATTACTCTGCGATGAAGAAAATTCAGAAAACTCTTCAGAAGTGAGGATTTCTAAGGGACTCCTTGCACTTAAGGATAAATTATGCAAGTAGGCTCCAGCATGAGTATGGACTGAAGAAACAAGTTTTGGCCTTCTTTCATGTCTTTAGTCCCCAGTCCCTCAATGTCCTTCATTCTGCAGGATACAAGGACATTTCCTACGCCCATGTTGACCAGACAAGCCTGCCTGTCACCTACATACCAGTTATCATCAATTACTATCCAGGAGACTGAAAGCATTAGAGGTAAAAAGTGTCTCAAAATAAAAGAGAGCTTCATTTCTTTGGGTCTGATGTATGCCAGAGCAGCTAAAGACATAAGGAGATATGAATGCGAACCTCCTACCCAAAGCCTAAGGGGAAGTGTTAGCCTCACAGGTTTAGCGCTTTCCAGTAACAGAGACTTCTGTAAAACATCATCCCCTTACCTGCCTCATACCATACAGTAAAACTTGCAAGAATAACAATTAGAATGATATTTCATTTAAAATACATAACTCAGTTATTTTGCATGCATAGCTTCTAAACTATGCAAAATTTTGCCATTTCTTAGTGGAAAAAAAGCACATATTCATCTATTAGTTTTAACAATGATTAGTTAATCAATCTTTCATTATTTTCCTGTAGATATTGGTTCTCCTCCCCTGCCTTATTTCTGTATACTTACATTACTTAGTATTACAGAAATGCCTGATGTGGAAGAAACCAAATCAACTACACAGAGCCATGTATATAAAGGTCAGAGCAGAGCTGCCATGATGGCCTGGAGATGTGGTGGAAGGAGTCCGCGTTGGCCTTGGCTCCTTATAGTTGCAAGGAGGCAACAGAAGCAGGTGCAGCCCAGAGTCAGGTAGACAGGCAAGCTAAGCCGCTTCAGATTTGACCAGGGTGACATGACGTGACAAGCAACTGTGTAATTCAACAGAGTGGTACATGATGAACAGCAAACACAGGAAGAGGAACTTCCACCATTCTGGAAAGTGACACAGATCACCAAGCAGAACAGCTCTAGTCCCTGCAAGGTATGCAGAGATCCAGCATGGTATAGTTACCAAGAGAGGGGAGAAGGCACTTACTTCCTAGGCACACGTGCACATGTGCTTGGAGTTGAAAATTGCTGTGGGCATTGTGACTGATCACCTTTGCTATATCTAAGAGATGAAGTTATGTGAAATTTTATCTGCTTTTACAACTGTGTGGTTTATCATCATCATTGTCGTCGTCATCCTTGTCATCATCATCACCACCATTACTTATTAAACAATGTGAACTAAGAACACTCATTAGAGACATAACATACTTACAGTAGTTTCCAAATAAACGGTGTCACTCTTCAGGTAAATCACTCCAAGGCTTGAGACTAGTGCAGATGTTCATTGGGGCAGGGGACAGAGAGTGGCTGCATCTAGCATAGACAAAACAACAAATACAAACAAGGTCATTAAATGAGTAGGGCCTTGGCTATTGTAGTCCACCCCCCCCCTTCTTTTTTGTGGAGAGAGATGAACTGTGGAAGTTGACTGAGAGGCTGCTGGTTCTGCATCTTTGTTCCAGAGGGTTGCATGACAGGGGAGGGGCTGCTTTCAGTGTTCTAACTGCTGGTGTGGTCTGAGACATCAAAAGTATCCTGTCAGTGCAGATGGAGTGGGTTTTGGAAGCCGAGTAGGAGTTGGAGTAAAGGAAGTGGGGACAGCATCTTTCAATATTGGCTTAGCCAATTCTGATGTTTTCCATTTATTGATTATTAGCCGACAAAAATTATACATACTTGAGGCATATAACAATATTTTGATATATGTATACATTGTGGGATGGAGAAATCGAGTTATTCAGCATATGTTTTACATCACATATTTATCTGTTTTGTGGTGAGGATTCTTTTTTTTTTTTTTAATTAGAGTTTAAAAGAAAAACACCCCAGGGCAGGCAGCTGTAAATCTCGGCAGCTGCCAGAGGAGGAGAATGGAAGAGAGAAGAAGTAATCTCTGAACTACTTACTACTCCTTGCTAAATAAAAATTTGTGTCCTTTGACTAGCATCTCCTTAGCCTCTGCCAATATGTATTCAGCTCTTGTGGTTCTCTATGTAAGTAAGGTCATGATATATTTATCTTTCTGTGCCTGAATGTCTTTCAGATTCATCCCTCCTGTGGCAAATGACAGGACTTCTTTTGAAGGGCTGAATAGTATTCCTCAAATGTAGTATGTATATTACATTTCTGGCAATTTTGATTCCCTTCTGTCTCTCCCTCTCTGTTGCTCAGTCATTACTTATTCTAAACACACCCACTAGTTTGAATTCTTGCCTTCTCTCTGCTTTCCCTCACAGTCTCCACTTCCTTCCTTATCTGCTACCCACAGGGCGGTTCAGCCTGAGGGGCTATAGATTAGGATCTGTCTCAGGGCCTTTCCAACTAAGCCCTATCACATTGGCCATCAGGCTCCTGGACCACACTGTTCCTGAAGCTTGCCTCCCTTTGCAATCAGACATTGCATTATTCTGACATTCCCCTACCTCCTTAGACATTCCTTAATAGAGACATTCCTTAGGATTCTCCCCTCCGGCTCTGTCTAGGAAAATCTGTGACTTCTATAGGCACTTCTCCAGAGCACCTACAAGGCTAGCTCTAGTTCCTGCTTATCTGAATGCCAGACCCACATTCAATACTGGCTGGTGACTAGTACCTTCATTTGTTTATATACATCTACAAGGCACCTAGAAAACATGGATACTTCAGGGTCTCTTACTCTGAGAAGCTTTTAACTCCATCACATATCACAGGCTCTTCTAAGTCAGAGAGTTTAAAAGACGTCACTGCCTCTTCCTCAAAGTCAGTGCTTCCTCCAGCTTTCTTACCCTCCACTGGTGCCATCTCTACCCTGTTCCTTGGGTCTACAGTTGAGACGTTATCTTTAATGATTTTTCTTCCATATCCAATCAGCTGCCAAACCCTCTGGTTTTTGCTCTGGCCATCTGCCTTGAATTTATGTGTTTTCTGTACTCAACAGTATTATCACTTTGCCACCAGCTGCTAGAACTTCTAAGAACATCTCCTGGCTGCCCTTTTTCTTCTGGTTTTTCTTTACCTTTATGTTTATCCTTTGTATCAACATTACATTAGTTTCCTAAAGTGCAAGCCTAAACACATTCCTCCTTTGCTCAAAACCTTCTTTGTTTACTGTATTAAATTTAAACTTCTCGACTTGACATTTGAGGATGTTATAATGTGGCCCTAGTCCAATTTTCTATTCTTCTCCCTACAGTCAATACGCCAGCAAAGTCCCACTCTTTTCCTGTGTCTACATATAAATTCTTTAAAAATTTTTTAAATTGAGCTGGGTGTGGTGGTGCATGCCTTTAATCCCAGCACTCAGGAAGCAGAGGCAGGTGGATCTCTCAATTCAAAGCCAGCCTGGTCTACACAGCGAGTTCCAGGACAGCTGGGGCTACAGGGAAGCCCTTTCTCAAAAAAACCAAAAAAAAAAAAAAAATTTTTTTTTTCAATTGAATTTTTGAGAATTTCATATAATACATCTTGATCATATTTAGAACCCCTCCCCGCCTACCCCCTCTCCAGATTTCAGGCATTTGGTTATATATGCTAAAGCCTATTGAGCCAAGTTTTTGTTTCCAAATGTCCATTGGTGTGAGTCCATCATCCATCCACTTGAGCCTAGTCAACTTATTTAGCATCACTCCCTCAAAGAAAACCAACTCTCTCTTTTTCCCAGTAGTCATCAGTTGCCAATAGTTCCTCAGCTACAGTTGGGGCATATAACTTCTTTATAGGCCAGTAAATGCCACCCCATTTAGGAAGCATTTCCCAAAGGAATGTCCTGGAATCCCCAACTTGCATGACTCCCTAGACACACTCTACAGACTCCACTGACCATTTGTATCATGTGTCCTCCCCCTCCCAGAAAGCAGAGACCATTTTAATTCTGTGTACTACTAGGGCTCAGAAAGCAATACCCCAATGTGAAGGTTTCAGATGCAGCCTAAGAAGCCAACTTTCTCTCTGACCTCCTGTTTCCTTTTCTCCCTGAGGCAAACCATAGACACTAGAGATTCTCTCCTGAAAGGCAGGAGATGGAAATTAGAACCTCCTTTCCCAAAAGCAGGTCATGAAGCTTAAAGATATTACTCTAACAGTGCCTTTCTGTGTAGAAACTGGTCATAAACAAATTTTCTGACATACCTTGTTTGGTAGTAGATTGAAAGACCCCTGATTAAGAAAGGGTCCTGTCCATACCCAGGTGGAAGGAATGCTGCACAGGGCGGCCAACAAGAATCTGAACAGACAGGCCTTGCTAGGTTTCTGCACTCTGTCCACTACCATTAGGTCACACTCCTTTTGTCCAATCATATTTATACACACCTATCCATTCCTCATCAAACTTAAACATGGACAGTTCACCCTGAACCTTTGGGTCTTCATTCTGAAGTTTCTCCTGTCAGGTAGAACTATGGTCACATAAGTTTCTTATGCTTTTATTGTGTGAACTTCTCTTTGGTTATAGGGGTGTTGGCAATGCTTCTTTATGATGTGTGGAACATGGATCACTTTTTCTTGCCTCTGTAGTACAATGTCTTGCATACAAATTTGTGTCCAGCTAATATTGGTTGAACTGAACTCCAAAAGAAAAAATAATCTTGCTTAGAATTACAGAAACTGCGGATGAATTAGAAAGGACCTTAAAGTTCATCTACTCTAGTGCCCTCATTTTCAGATGAAAAGATTAAGGAAAATGACTTGCTCAAGGTCATATCCTTGTTAGTATCTAATCAAGGTTAACTAATATAAAAGGTCATGTGTCTTTAACTATCTCTCAGCATTTGATTAATGTCAATAGGCCAAGAAGACCACCAAGAGTGACCAAACTGGAGACAGGGAGAGATTGAGGGGATACCATGTTCCAAAAATAACAATCTCTTTCACTTATTTGCTTCTACAAATTGAACAAGTAAATATCATTTCATAGTTAAATGATGTCTTAAAATGAGGGTGGATCAAAAAAAGGGAAAATTTTCTTGTATTATCAGCAGAAATAATGACAATACTGAATATGCCACTGGAGTGCTAAACTCAGGCTGGCCCTTGGAATAAGGCTTCTCACACTTTGGAAAGGATGTGGCTTCAGCTTCAGTTCTTGCTGAAAACAGGCTGCAGTAATTCTATGGTTAAGTCTTTCTATATTAACACTTCTTTTTCTAGCTAACTTTAACCACTATTCATGGACTATATTAAAATATCCTTAAATTTTTCACTTATTTTTCTCCTTATTTAGCTACTTACTTACAGAAATGTACAGACAACTGCCCCAAGTCTGTTCTAATTTTCTTAACTTATTCTCTTCCAGTGATAGAAGAAACATTGGTTGTTCAATTTTTTGTCTTTCTCTTCAAACAGAATCATTGTCTTTCACCCCAAAATGAAAAGCTCAACAAAATATACTTTGGGATAGTGGTGCTTACCACAGTGAGGAAAACAGACCTTCCAGGGGAAGTCAGCTCTTTTTCCTTGGTCAGAAAAGCTTCCTCTTAAATGTTAGCCTAGCCTAGGGTACCACAAGCCCTCATCTATATCTCCTGGGTGAGTCTCTCCCAGGTGAGCATTCAGCTCACTGTCACCCAGCAGAGGAAAAAGTCCATAGTACTGATAAGGTCTTTCTGGCTGGTATGGTGGAGCTGTGCTGTGCATTGAGATGTCTACCTCAGCAGCTGCATAAACAGCAAAATGGGCTCAAAGGCTCTCCATTGTTCTTTCAAACCCATCATATAGCTAGATCAACATTTTACCTGACTGAACTTTCTCCTTTTTTATCTCCTGGCAGCTACATTAAAATGATACAAGAAATCACTGATCGATATTCTCCTACATGGCAGTGAACAATGACCTGGCAACATACAAAGATTTTCTGTGTAATTAGATAATTACATGCACAGTATATACAATAGTTTACACTTAAAATCAGCATTTTATAATTAAATAAGGCCACAGTCTTCCTGTCCTTTAGTCAAACCTTCTCTTTCAGCCCCGTATCCGGTTGCACTATCTTCCTACCATTTTTTGGCAAACTATCACCTACCCTCATCTCATTTTTTCCCCTCTGGCCTTAGCACACACCTGAACATCTACTAATCAGAGCTACTGCAGGGTATGCCATGTTTTATTGTTAAAGGGTAGTTATACTCTGAAAAATACTTAGTGAAAATGGCTTCATGGGGTTTCACATTTATTCCCCTTTAATCACTTCTATGTCTGGTGTACTAAGTTTTTAAGTCAAAAGGTAATTCTGATGGGCTGCTGGTGCTACAAATTCCACTCAGAATCTGGAAATCCAGCTGTTTTCTCTGTCTCTTATATCACACTGTAATAAAGAATCTGCTCTTAGAACGCAGCAA